CTGATGAATATAAGAATAGTTCTGGAGAGGTAGGAAGTCCATTAAGATTAAGCCTCGATAGGTTTGAACCTGAGCGTGGAAAACTGGGCCGAGTTCACGAGGTCAAGGTCTTCAGGCAAACGTTCGTTGGTTAAAACTGGGTTTTCTTTTGTGGAAGTCTGATTTATTCCGTTCTATTTCAAAAAAAAAAAAAAAAACACAAGAAAATGATTACAAAAAAAACTCAAAACAGTGCAATGAGAGAAGAACTGAAAAGTAATTTAGAAGACAAGAGGTTTATATCAAACAGCGATGCTTTTTTATTCTTTTTCTTTTCTTTTGTCCACTTTTTCTTTTAATATTTTGCTTTTCCTGGGGAGTTTTTTCAGTGGACTTCGACTAAGAAGCTCGATACAGTTTCACGCCTATTTTGGAAACATACAAGTCGTTGCCTTTTGTCTTTCTGTTGCAAATTGCAATTCCAAGACGAAGGTAAGTAACTGAGATAAAGAAACGGTGGTATCTCTGTCATAAATTAGGGGCAGCCCAATCTTCGATTGGGTTAAGTGTCATAAAATCAGTAAAAGTAGTTTCAAATTCCAGGAACCAGTGATTTTCAGTGATAGAGACAGCAGAGTTACAGTGCGGAAGGAAAATTTAATTTGAATATAGCGAGAAATGTATTTATCTACAATCAGCTTGTAAACTAGTATATAACAAACCAAAAAACCTGCGTATCTATTCTCTTTCCCTCTAATTTTTCTGCACAATGTTCCCCAGACTCTTTTTCAGTTCTTTCAACAGGGCCCTCGCTAGCGAGTTTCTCTCTTCAGAAAGATCCTCCATGATGGCCTCCAGTGACGAAGCCAAACACGTCCCCAAGTACTCTGCTCTGGTTGTCCGCTTCATAGCAATTCCTCTGATCTCCGTCGAAGCAGATACGACTTTCCATATGTGGCGTAAGATTCTAGGAAAAGTTGAAGTTGGAGAAAAAGAACTCGTCAGAGCGCAGGTCATCTACGACTGGCACGTCATACCACAAACCTTCTTCGTGAACTGTGAAAGCGGAAATATTGCCTTGTTCTGTTTATTAATGGCAACCGCGTTCAGCGGGTTAGCCTTGAGAGAACTGTGACCATGGCAACTGCAACAACTATTGTAACGACATCTGAGACGCATCTCACATGGTCAGACCTGTAGACAACCTATAAGACACAGAGTGCCTTGCGAGCCTCGGACAGTAACTTAAAAACTTAAAGGAAACAAGAAATGAGTTAAAAAGGGTCGATTATTTTTTCGTGAATTGTAAGATTCTTTTTTTGACGAACTAAAACAAAGGAAACGTTTTTACTGCAGAATCTGCTTTTTGTGGTTGTTCCCGGCGTATGCATCCGTCATTGTGTACTATTTAGGTTGAAACAAAATTTAGAAATTTTCAACAGCTAGTGGTCACATGATGAAAAGCTCATTGACTGAGTTTGGCGTCTCGGTTGTGAAGCAAGAACCTCGTTGCGCTAGGTCCCTACGGCATGGCCTTAAACCAAATGTTTTCGTGTCTGGCCTGATAGGGCCTTAAGCAAACCACGACAGCGAAGGCAACGAGGACTTGGCAAAACATAAGATCTAAGGAGTAGAACGATAGTTCAGCACGCGCGTTTCAAAACATTTTTTGATTTTGTAGTCTTCCTATGAAAACAACAAACTGAAATCTCCACTTTGAAAATTTGCGTGGTCTGAGAAAGGACACACCAACCGCAAATTATTTACGTTTCGATTTGGAACTCAACGCTGCTCATATACTGAGGTTGAGCTGTTGTGCCGTCAGAGACGGTAAACACATGCAGCCCTTTACAAAACTCTGCCCAAACTTATGAAGTAATTTATTAATCTACGTCTTCCTCGGCATTGCCGTCCTGACTGCTTAAGGTCCCCAATAAGTACTAACGACGGACACTTTCTTCCGCCAAACCAAAGATTTGGTCGGAAATTCGAAGATTCTTTCGAGTTTTATCTTTGTCATAACTGCGAAGTTCCAATATCACGAACTCTTTGAGGAGCAGAAAAAATAATTCCAGAAATCAAAGATTAGAGAGATCTGTGGTAACATTACTGTGATACAAAGACACAAAATCACACTCAGGAACGTTGCCTGAATTGAGAAATTCAGAGTGAATTGATAGCGGTTGATATATTTAGGTTGCGAGATTAAGTTTGTAAAACATGAGATTTTGAGAATATTCGGACTTCAAGACAACGGAACTTTACTTTATCAAATGCATTTTTTTAAATCTGTACCTTGATGTATTCTTTCTACAAGATATCTCGAATAGAGCACATGAAAACCTTGCGATATGATGCCTGTAGCGGTATAGCAAACTACGAGCCATATCGTCATGCGGTTCATTAGAGAAATTTGCAATTCATATTAAGCAATCTTGAAGAAAAGGTTGGTAAAGAAGAAATGTAATGCTAAAAGCTTTAGTAGAAACGAAAAAACCACATAGCACTTTGTCACCTTTCTTTATTGATTTAATATGTATTCGTGTAAGGAAAGTATGTAGTAAAAAAAAACCTATAATTATAATAAACAATTGTTCACCGAAGCGGCGGTGAATAGTATTTGCTATTCACTTCCGAACTAGCTAATCAGTGCGTGCGAAAAGCATTATGCAGCTGTGTGGTATATTATGGAATTCATTATTTGTTTTAGGATTCAAAAGTTAGTAATTAGGGCAAAAGTAGAGAGCTTGCACATGGTGTAGTTGCCCATATGACGCTGGAGCTCAGCCCAGTCTCCCCATCAAGAAGGGCGGCTATACCCTTACCACTCACTACCCTTCACTTACAATGACGGTCAAAAATTCGTCATAAAGAAATTAATAAAAGTAAAAAAATTTGATTTTTGTTTCTTCCAAATTATCTTAAAATGTTGTGCTTAATTTTCCCAACGAGCTTTTCGTTTACAAGGCAAAGCATCTTTTCTTTCTATATCAAGGCTAGAGTTTGACGACTGATTTATTCATGCAGTCTCGTGAGAGGTTAAAAAACTTATAAGCGCTGTCCCTTACACTACGTGATATCCGGGACTTGCAAGATTGTAGGATAAAGCTGTCAAACAGTTAACACGTCTTACATTACCAAATGTTACCCTACTAGATACGCCATGACGAACGTAAGAAAGAGAGGAAACACGATGGGTTTTATGCTTCTGAGCAAAGAGATGAGATATATCTTTGCCTGTTTTAATGAGGTGTCTGCTTCTTCGCGTAAGTATCATTATTATTTGTTCATTATTCGATCTCAGCATCGAAAAAAATATGATCTAGTTTTAGCCTTTCAGCGTCTTAGCTTAGAACATCAAGCGTCTCTCGAAGATTTTCCATGGTATCTATTAAGGTCTCTAAATCTTAGAATAGTACAACTAAACGTTGTTGATGTACTAGCCCGACAACTTACCATGAAATATTTTCTAATTAAAAACTAAAAAAGGCCTTGACTGTGCTCTGTTCTGTTGTAAAGCACACAGGAAGTGGATGGAGCACGAAAGAATTGTACGGGGAAGCACGAGACATAGTCGAGTGTTTCTCCCTTCATCTTGAGTATCGACACCTTGAGTATGTTTCTGCGAAAGATTGCTCGCATAGAGCGCATGAAAACCTTGCGATATAGCAAACTACGAGATATAAGTTCTCTTGCTTCTTTGCAGAAATTTGCAATTCATATTAGCTATCTTAAAGCAAAGGCTGGTAAAGAGAAATTTAATACTGAAAGCTTCAGCAAAAACGAAATCCACAAAAAATGGAATTTTGCAAAATCCAAAGTTCCTGAATTAAAACGCTTAATTAGCTTTCTATTCTTCATCATTCGGGTTTTATTTTATTTTTTGTTGTTGTTGTTGTTGTTTTGTTTTGTTTTCGAACACGAAACTATACAAGTATTATTTCTTGACGTCAGCTTATGCAATCGATCTAATAGTCCTTTTTACACTGGCTTTCATCAAATGGAGAAACAAGGGCTGGCAGATAAAGTGAGAAGGAATTTTCTTGCCAAACTCCAAGATCTGGCCCTGAGGTGTGATTAGAACGCAAACTTTTGGTTTTATTAGCAAGTTTTTATCTTAAAAGATGGACATGTTTTTGGTGTTGCTCAGAGCAAAATGCTGGACTTTGGGATTTTTTTGCCATACGAACGGTTCACTGCAATGAAAATCAGGAATCATTGTGGGCGTTCTAGGTAGCAATGGGTGTCACATCAACTAGACGGCACAATTTACACACTTACATAATGTTGTGTCTTAAGTTCAACAAGAAACAAGTATCAAAAGTAGCAAAGGTATTATCTGGACATGTGTTCACTTAGTATGCAAAGGGTTAATAAAAACTTCCCTTTGTCACTATATTGCTATTTTGATGTCACCAACTATGCAAGCTGTTAACTAGTTATGCATGGTACTAGTAAGACTAGAACGTTTTGTGTAAGTCGTAGTAAAGGATAAGGACTTAGAGGGGGAGGGTAGTTGTCAAAAGCCTTGCATGGCTCAATTTGGGAGTAGAACACAAAGTGCAGGTAAGGGGGTTGGTCAGTTTTTAAATTATCAGGTTAGTTGAAAACGTTTTGGGCTCAGCAAGACCAGTCCGTGTGGCTAGCCGCCCCAGGGTTCTGGAGTGCAATGAGAATGCTGGTCACGTGACTTATGGATGCTTAAACCCCAACCCTAACACAAATCTAACCCTAACCCAAGATACTGGAAAAAAAGCTCAATGGAACTAACATGATTTCTGAAATCCCAGCCCTAACCATAGTTTTTAGTCGATACTCGTCATAGCTGTTTCCTGAGGGTTTCAAATACCTTAGTCACGTGATGTCCAATATTCCCTTTAAAGATAGCAGCGACGTGAGCCAATTTCCATTTTGTTGGGAATCTGGAATATTTTAGGCTTCTATGGAAAATTGTGTTTAGGCCGTCGATTGTGGAGTTACCTGGTTAATTCATCGCCATCCCTTTGCACTGATATCAATTATACGAAACCACGGAAATGTAAACATAAAAGTTTTAACAAAAAGAAAAAACAATGAGATATTTTTCTTCTGAGGATGGAATGGAATCATGATGAACAGGAAATGAAAAAAGTTACTCGAAGAAGATTAGACTCTGAAAACATCTGAGAATTACAAGGAAGATGTTTTCATCGAAACCTCTCCGTGTCCTTTCACAGCCATATTAGATGTTCTGTACCTAATAACACAACTCAGTGAAGCCTGCCTCTTTAAGTGAATGAAGCCTGATTTTATTTCCTGGATATTAAGTCCACAAAACGAGAGAGAGGAGGTTGAGTTAAAAATGTGACATAGGCAAATTGTGGGAAGGATTGCAGAGTACCTCACTTTACTTACTTTATCGCTTTTTTGATGTGACGGACATGCAAGACTAAGAATGTTCATTTGCATAAGGTCAATGGTCGCCCTTCTCCGCCAACTTCCCGCCATTGGACTTTTGTGATTCGGAGACAATGAATAAAATGAGATATGGGGCCATGTAAGCACTTTTGAACTGAGATCTTTTGTACGGGAGTAGTAAAGAGTTGAGAATTTTATTGAGGTTTCTTAAGAGGCTTAGCTTTGACAAATCCTATTTATGAGAGGGTATATGTACCCATTTCTAGCAGAACATCGTTGCCATGTTCACCTCCGATCTGAGTTTTATCCAGCTCCTTCTCTTGCATAATACAACATCCGGGACTTCAGGTGAAAATAAACTTGAAACCGTCCTACGATTGAGACAACGTGCAGTATTAGAATTTAACCTGCTTGGTACACCATAACATGGGTATCGCGCTTTTGAGCACAATCTTCATTTCAAGTCTGGCTTTTTTACATGTAGTGTCCGCTTTGTTGGGTAAGTATTTTTATTCTGTAGAATATTCGATTGTACCATCAACGCAAGACGGCACGAAACACATTTGTTTACACAGCTCTAAAGATTTCGTATATTTTTAGAATTAAAGGATTGGGCAATATCCTTGTAATGGCCAGCTGTCAAATAAATACCTATTTAAAAGTATTCTAAAATCATATTCAACCAAATACTTAAAAACAAAATCATAAGGCAATTAAGTTATCGTTTTCTGATCAAAACGAACCAAAATTGTTTAGCATAAGCGATAGCACTCTTCGCTTAGAAATAAGAAATTGAGGCAGACAAATCAGCAGGCTCTTCGCTTACCGTAAAACAGAACAAAGACAAATCAATCGTAAGATGTGATAGACAGGAGTGAGGTAGGGGTTACTTTAGAACTATACGTTACAATGCCTCCTGGCCTACACCGTCGATCGTTCTCGAACGTATTTACATATCTTTTACGCATTGGTAAACAAATTTTTCGCATATCATTTGTTTTTCCTTTTTTTGTTTACCGATCATTGTAATCGCAGGAAAAACGCTTCCTTCGGGTAAGAAAAACGTACCCGTGCATGGATAATTAGAAATTTATATATAACTATGACAAATATGAAAAAACGAAGAGGATCCTTTGTATCAATGGCAACGTTTGCAATATGTTTTTCACTGTGCCTCCTTCCCTGATGGAGTTCAGTCTTTTAGTCTCTGCTCTTTAGAAAAGAAGATATCGGCAGTCAAAACACAAAACTGAGCAACAGGAGATTTCATCGATTCTTGTTGCAAAGAAATCGGTCTTACTCGAAGGGAATGCATGCTACTAATTTGTCAGCAACCGTGGAATATTTTATCGCTCCATTCCGGAAGGCTTTTACTTTCCAATATTCGCATGCAGTGTGAAAGTAAAGTGGAATAGATCTTAAAGAAAGAGAAAAGCCAAAGTGCACTGCAGAATTGAATTTTCCTATTGAAAAATAAGGCTTATACCTGATACAGATAAAAAATAGACCACCAGAATTTTCAGATTTGCGCTGCAGTAGACAGGTTAAGTCAAGTAATTAAATTATCAGACAGACTCTGACCTTTGAAAAGGTATGCTTTGAATTTGCCTGACTGCCATAACTGGACGCAAGCGAAAAGTGAAGAAAAAGTTGAACATGCTAAAGAAAGACAAACACAGGCCAACCCAAATTGAATTACACAGCCTTAGGCGTAAGTGAATGGAAATTTTCGAGGAAGCAAGCACCATTCTTATTTAAATAAAAAAAGTTAAAGCTTTGCGTGACGGTTTGGTTATGGATGGTTACAATTCGCATCAGATTTACTGTTCTAAATTTGTGATTCACACTTGTGAAAACTGAACTGCGATAGATCGTGAAAAGAGACTGCGTACACAAAACGTACCACAGTCTGCAAAAGAAAAAAACATGCAACCATCGAAACCAATTAAGTCAGCGATTGCCATTTATAATTAAGCTCGAAATGAATATTGCTGACTTCAGATTTTCTCATGCCATTAACGATCAATTGTCAACGAATGGTTCGCAGGTTTCCGATAATGTGACTCAATACAATATTACGTTCAAGTAATCTGCTCTCTTTCCTTTTTTTCCCCTTAGACTTGAAACGACGTACTTGCAATTTCCCATGTCTGTTGGTTTGCAGTAAGGACCACATATTGGCTTTGGAGTTCGGTAGCAAGACGAGTTATGTAGTCGTTTCCAATTTAACACATGTTTCAGCTGTGGACTTTCATTATAACCTGGGCTACATATTCTGGATTGATAACGGCGAAAGAAACATCAAGCGTTCTAATATGGACGGCACAAACATAAATGTTATTCATAACAAGACAGGAGTCGGTTTGGGTTTAGCAGTTGAGTGGAACTCCTTACAATTGTATTGGACTGATTCAACGAATGGTACCATATCGGTGTCAGACTTTCAGGGAAATAACAAGAAAGCCCTCTGGTCCTCAAAAACTGAAAAGCCGGATGGAATTGTTCTCGACCCATATGAGGGGTAAATATGTATCAGAAATAGAACTCACCTAGAAATGATAGTCCATCTGCTATTTTTTAGAGCTAGAGGCAAGCCTTAAAGTGCAATTTATATGCAGTCATATTGGAATAACGCAAGAAATGATAATATTTAACAATTGTTTCCCGAAAGCGGTCTTTTAGATATAGGTTAAAGCTTGGTCTTTCTTGCAAGAGCGAATGTTTGAATTGACCGAGTGAAAATCGAAAAATGTGGCACATGATCGAAAAATTGAAAACCTTCATATTTTTCCCAGAGATACCTTATGGTGCACTTAGAAACGTAGTAAGGTTTTTTTCCCCAGACTTGCTTCTTTATCCTAGAAAATTCACGAAAACTGAATCGAGCGTCGGTAGCCGTAAAATGGCGGAAATCAGTGCCTCGAGTAGAGCCAAATGAACTGTGCTCATGAAAAGCACAAAAGAAAGCAAGCTCGTATCAGTTTGACAAATTTGTATCGGAGGGACTGAGGTATGGCTTAAGTCTAAAACGGGACATTTCAGCCTTGCGTGACAAATACTTGAATGCGTCACATCTACACACAGATTGCTTCACGTCTTCAACGTATTCGGCAAAGACCATTTGACCTGCATTACCCCAGAACTATCTTGGGACTTTTAGGTGTTCGAATACTCAAAGAAAAACAGACGCCCTCCGCTAGCTTAAGGAATGTGTTATTGTAAACAATTCCGCCATGGGAAATGGATGAGAATTTGAAACGAAAGTAGAGATAAAAACCAGTCTGCCGTGGTTAGCTATGCAAGGCTAGCTTACAGTATTGATTTCCTGATCGACCTCGCTGCTAACTTCTAAAATGTGCTTGAGTTCCGGATTTAACCACGGGGTGCCTGATTAGATTTTGTCGTGACGTAAATGACGATGTGGCGATTTTCATAAAGTTCAGCCTGGTTTTTCCGTGCGGAAATGAAAAGCCCCAAATTAATTTTTATATCCTCGAAAACAGCACTATTTCCACTTATCATGAGCTTAACCTGAACCGATTCTGAGTTATACCGCATGGTGAAAATTATAATTGAAAATGTGTTACAAAATGCCATATTTGGAGTTTGAAATATTGGTGATTTTTAAAAGCATTCCGTGATGTCAAAATTAAATGAAACGGTCCCGTTTTAGACTTAAGCCATACCTCAGTCCCTCCGATACAAATTTGTCAAACTGATACGAGCTTGCTTTCTTTTGTGCTTTTCATGAGCACAGTTCATTTGGCTCTACTCGGGGCACTGGTATCCGCCATTTTACGGCTACCGACGCTCGATTCAGTTTTCGTGAATTTTCTAGGATAAAGAAGCAAGTCTGGAAAAAAAACCTTACCACGTTTCTAAGTATACAATAAGGCATCTCTGGCTGAAATATGAGGATAGTCATTTTTCGGACGATGTGCCATCTCTCACGCGGTCTTGAAAAAAAGTCGGTCTTAATTTGTAATATCCCAACTGTTTCAACGCAGATACAAATTTTGAATTTTTCAATTTTGAAAAGAGCTTATTTCTTAGTTCTGACTCTCAGTTAAAAAGTTGATAAGTGTGGTGGTTTGATCGACAGATTGATGTTTTGGACTGATTGGGGGAACCAGCCGAAAATTGAGAGATCAACTTTACTCGGAACTCAGCGTGTCGCAATAGTAACGACTCGTGTTGTGATCCCATATGGCATCACCCTTGATCGACAAAGCAAACTCATTTTCTGGGTGGACGGTGGAATGGACGTAATAGAGTCCGCTGACTACAATGGAAGCAACAGAAAACTTCTCTTTCAGCGAAGTGGAATTTCTTTTTCTGGAGTTACTTTTACCTCGTCATATCTGTTCATCAATGGGTGGTTACAAAATTGGGTTTGCAAAGTGGATGCCTATAATGGAACAGTTGTAGATAATGTAACAACCAGCAGCATTTTCTCAGAGGGAATCGTCGCATTTGACAGCTCGCAGCAGTTACCAGGTTTGTAATGCAATTTCACAAACTACCATAAAAGCAATGTAGCTTGGGAAGACGAAAGGGAACTACTGATTAGAGAGCTTAAACATCCCTTGAGCGTGGATATTCCGAGGTAATATTATGGTGTTAAAGAATTGAATCAGTTAGGTGTTAATGAAGCAGGTTTCCACAGGAAGTTGGGTAATTCCTAGAGCGGATGTAAGAGGTTCCTGTTTTGAATAGTAATTGTTTTCTTTAGAGTGACATTAAAGTTTCTTTCGGTGCGCCGTTTTAATCCACGAGTGATTTCTATGCTTACTGACACAATAGGTAATCTGGTTGTGATAGCTATCCTATCTGCAACATTTATTCTAAAAATGTTAAGGGCAAAAATAAATAAGAAAGATGCCAACGCAATGGAAATGTCAATGAAGTAAGAAGATGACAACGCAATGGAACCTGGACAGGACAGGAGTTTGCTTGCTAAGGTAACTTTATATAGTAATTATCTATAGTTTACGTGTTCCCCAGCTGGCTTACAGCAAGATCAAAGCAGGACACTACTCGATACGCAGCCGTATCGAGTAGTGTCTACAATAATGTGTTGTAACATAACTTACGCAGAACGCGCGCTCTGCGCCTCGTGGTTAACTAACTTTTCTCGTGTTCTCCCAGCATCCCACGCGGTTTATTAACCGGGGAAAGATTTCCGTACAACCCCATTCTTCGTTATGCATATAATTCTTGGATAAAAGAAAGCAGAGACAAAACAACAGATTATCTTTGGGATGACGGCTTTGTTTTTGACTGGTATGGGGTTATACGACGGAAATCTACCCTTGCGCATCATGTCCTGGGAAATTACCGACAAGATTAAGGAACAGGGTTAATATCAGAAATGTTAAATCTCCTTCCTGAGCATGGTAATTTTAAGACAACTTGAATTAAGACGTAACCGTAGATGAGTTGATAAACTTTTGTTGGCTAATTTTCACATGAATATCGTAATGTTGGTGAAATCTCTACTGTTTTAACTACTTATTCTCCCCAGTCATCAACTGTACATCACCGATGATCGACCCAGGAGGTCTACTACGCAGGAGCAGCTGTGATAATCATTATGGAGCACAATGTAACTTTTCTTGTCCCATCGGACAATCGGTTTGACACCAGAGTTAGTACTAGATGAGATGTTGTAATGTACTCGAAATGTGGATGCCATTCGAATGCCATGCTTATTAAAATCGAATTTCTCCTTCAGCTGTCAAGTGCCCGACCTTGTCATTACCGAGCAACGGCGTGCTTTTGGGATGTAACACCAAGAAGACAGATATGCCATATGACACTACATGCAGGTTCTCTTGTAAGGAAGGATCTGAAGCGACTGGTTTAATAGTAAAGAGGTGTGCTGAAAACGATACCTGGATTGGACCAGACCTTGTTTGTCCAGGTACAAGAAACGCAAATATCAAAATTTTGAGGAATTTTAATGATTTTCGATTATTTTACTCGTTTTATTCATTATGTCGAATGACGAGTCGATTCGAGATCGTTAGTGTTCTTTCCGCTCAACGTTTACCACGATTGTAGATCGCGATAGGCGATCTAACATCACGGCGGCAGTTAATTCTCGAGACTACGCGGTTGATGTCATACATTTGTACATGGATCAATCGATGTATGGTGGAAGAGCTTGACTACCTTGGATCAGGAATCGATACAGGGTCGTCAGTAGTCTTTTTAAGGTTGCAAAGGTTGTAGATTATGGCAGCCGATGTAACAAAAATGTCGCAACATTTCTTTGTGTGGCTTGTCAGCTGACCCAATGCATCTGGGCATGGATCAATCGATCTTCTATAGTAAAATGGATCGTCACTGTCTCTAGGTGTTCAAGACTCAGTTACGATACATTTGCTGTTGTTCACCTTATTCAATTTTATTCATGATATTTATATTGATTAAGAGGCGACATCTGCAGATTCGATGTGTTGCTCTTCTGCTATAAATTCTAACTTTCTTGTGAGCTTATTCCGTTTCCAATTGAGCCGTGATTGTGGTATAGTTGTCAATTAGATCAGTATGAATCTTTGAAGTCTTTAAATTAGACAGAGAAGCTATGAACTCACCGGAGATTTCCAACGGCTGAACTGCCAAAAACATCTTTGGTAATTTAAGACTCACGTGATGATGATAGCTTACGGTCAACCTGTTTGAACACTTGCCAACTGAGAAGAGAACTGTGAAGTCGAATTATACCTGATGATTTTTCATTGATGAATGCTAAGTTCTCTTTTGCGGAATTCCTGAACAGTCGGATGAAAAAGCCCAAGAGTTCGTATCAATTTGTAGTTTTTAATTGTCTTTGTAAATTAACCAGAAAGCCCCGAACTATGTTATGGAATCAGTTTTCTTCCGCTCTTGTCCAAACTTATCAGACGTTGCCTATCGCTTTTACTGTTACACTTAAATTGTATCCCGGTGCAAATTACTTACACGCACGGTCTCGGTTATAGATCCAAAGAGTGACAAAATCGGGTACGTAAGTATATAATTATACAATATCTGCAGAGGGATGTTTGAAAACATTCTCCCTAACGTAAACGTTTGCAAACTTATGCCAGATTTTAGAAATTGTAATAATTATTTCAATTTAAGCTGAGATTTTCAGAGTTGCAAACTCGGGTAAGCTTTAGTACAGTGAGAAGGGGAAAATACGATTTCAATAAACCTGAACGTAAAGGAGCTGTTTACTCCAAATATTTCAAATTAGGGATACGAAATGTATTCTGTTCACTAACATTTCTTTTAGATAATGTCCCTAGGCTCTCTTTCAGGTCTTTTAGCAGGAACTGTGCTGGGAAGGTCCATCCATTTGTAGACTCTTTAGGACCGCCTACACCTTGATCCGGTTGCTGTCTTCATACTTCTTCCTCAGGTCTTCGCCTAACGTTAACCTGACTTATCGTGCCTGGCTGCTCCTGTTCACAGAGTTTAAGGCGTCGTCCAGAACGCATTGCGAACCAGGGTACACCACGAAGCTGAAAGGCAGTTTCTTTTCACGTTTTATTTTCTTGTTTTCTTCTTATGTCCAATTTTTGCCTGCTCCTTTCCCTGGAACAAAGCTTGGATGCTCAGGGAATGCAGCAGTTTATTGTGTTCTTAAAGTTCTTTTACTTCTTCGTCCATCATACATAATAAATTTTTCGAAGTGACCATTTACTAAACTACAACTACCTGTTAATCAAATGAGATGGTATAACACCAGTGGATGTTCGAAGGAGCCATCCAAGGAAGATCTCCAAATCTTCACATTACAGTTTATCAACCTTGAGAAAATGAACAGATGTTAAGTATTCCTTAATGGATAAATCTTTTAAGCTAAAACGCTCTCTAATAACTCGTCTTTATGATTTTTGTGTGGCTTACACAAGGTGTGTGGCCACAGTATGGCACGATCGGATTGATTGATTGATTTATTTGTCGAGGAGAGTCAAACGCATGTCACGTGGTCTGGTGTCGTAAGGCGTACTAGTCTGAGTCAGCCATCTTGGTTGTAAGCGTGGTCTCGAGTAATTGTTTTTGGAAAGATTTCCATACAACCCCATACCAATCAAACCCAAAGTCGTAGTCCCAAAGGAAATCTGTCCTTTTGCTTCTGCTTTCTTTTATCCAAGAATTGAATGCATAATGAAGTATGGAGTTCTACGGAAATCTTGCCTTTTTTTTCCAGGTGATTGTTTGACGAGTTAGTTCTCCTCACGCAAGCCAAAGCACCCAGATCCGGCTTGTGTTATAACTGCAGCTTACGCAAGAGCTTTTACGCTCTTAAAAGACAACACTTAACAGCTTGAATAAATCTATTAGTATCATATTAGTTGTACAACACTGCAAGGAGCTATTGCACTCTCGCAAGCCAAAAACTATCGGTTTGATCTATCGGTGTTTCACCACTGAGTCTCTGAAAGAGTTTGAAAGTGTTTGAAACTGTCTGAACCCTCCTGGAAGCGCCATAAAGTGAAATAAGTTGTATTGTAGTTGCATTCTCCTTGCACTGTTGAGAATTCACGGAGGCATATTTCAAAACGACAAGAGTAAAGTAAGTATGGGAATCTCGATTGTAAAATATCGGTCAAAGATTGGTTTTTAGGACAATTTCGTAAAAAAAAGGATATCTCATCACGTTTTAAGGATCATTATTAGAGTTTAATGCTAATGATGTTCTATTTGTATGTAATTTACTTGCCAGGATTGAAAAAAGTTTTTGGATAACACAAAATGGGGAATGATGCGATGTTTTAGTTTTCAGAAATGATTTTCTTCAATGCTTATATTCCTTTGTTTATAGGAGCCTAGTAGTTTAATGTTACAATTGAAATTTGATTATTACTATGATTTTTTCCAAGTAATGCCCAGAATTATTCAGACTTTCACATTTCTTGACTTTCTTGTAAGCTTGACAGTTTTCACAGTCTTCAGTGACGGACACTGTCACTGTCACTATCCTTACCACTGCTGCGGTCACCGTCAGTATCCTTGCCTTTGTCGCTATCATTCTAAATGTATTGGTATTTATTATTGTCATGCATTATTGTCGTCACTGCTATGCAATTATCATTAATCGCATTTTCAGTTATAAAAGCAAAATAAACGTCACCTAAACTATCATTTTGTTTTCTGTATAGCTCTTCGGTGTCCGCTGCCGACCAATGGTATACCTTTGGAATGTAACTTTACTAGTACGACAGAGTTGTTATATGACGTAGAATGCAGGAACTCTTGCATGGAAGAGCCTGGGGTGATTGGGTCAACTGTAAGGAGATGCAATGCAAATGAAAATGAAATGGAACGAACCTCGTCTGCAAAAGATTAAGAACTGCGAACATATATAATAAACAATTGAAACAATCCTTGTGAATCTTCAGGTATTGTGGTCAGTTACACTGTCGATGTCGCAAATAGATGCTGCGCATGTGCCTAGTAATAGATCGAGATCGTAAATGACGTCAAAATGTTGTAAGGAAATAATGTGCCACGTGTGTCCAATGGAACAAAGCTTGGATGGCTAGGCAATACAGCAGTTTATGTTTTATCTTTCTTTTACAATTTTGTCCATCATATATAATACATTTGTCACAGCGACTATATATCGATCTATAACTACCTGTTCATCACGTGAGATGGTCTGAGACCTGAGGCTGTTCGAAGGAGCCCTCTAAGGAAGATCTCCACATCTCCACATCGCAGTTAAAATCAACTTAGAGAAAATGAACAGATGTAAATTATTCCTTAAGTCTTAAGAACTAATGGATGAATCTTTTAAGCGAAAACAATCTCTAATGTAACTCGTGTTTATGATTTTTTATTTCGTTACTGTCGTCGAGCTTAGATATTGCACACATACTCAAACCAGCGCCTGACTAAGAACAACTTACATCAGCTAAGAGATTTGAAATGGTTCGTTCATGATGTTCACTCATTCATTCATTCATTTTGTTTTGCCGTTACCAGAAAAAAATTAACCGAATACAAAATTTCTGATACATCAAAGATAAAAAGAACTGTTCTAACTAAATTAACTTCAAAATCAAAGGAACTGAAGAGTTAACAGCAAGGAAGCCTATTAGAAGCCGGGGGGTTATAAAGTATAGGCTTCCTTAAACTATAGTATAAACCATACAAATCAAAGGTGCTGAACTAAAATTTAGATTACGTTGAAAAAAAAAAAGAAAGAAAAGAAAAAAATAAAGAAAAGCTGTGTAGCTTAACAAAGAATATACATAACTAAGAAAGAAGAATTTTTTTTAAGCCTTTTGCTAAACAAGCTGATGCTTTCAGAGTTTTGAATTTCCCGACTTAGCGTGTTGAAAAACTTAGGACCTCGAAACCGAATTGAAAATTTTCGAAAATTAGTTTTCCCTAGGATTTCTCTATGTTCCTTAGGATTGGAATGAAAATGTGAGTAATCACGCTGTTGAGACTGTGTATTTCAGAATTACTTCATGATTACGCGTTGGATGTGAGATCGCAAATAGTCAAAGAAGCGCACGGCATAAACCTGTATGTAAACAATGCATTGTCATTTCCGGAGAAGACGTATTTGTTTTATCAATACAATAATTAAAGTAAATATTTAACAAATTCTCTACGCGTCATTTTTGGGTGGAAGTTTTGTAAATCTATTGTCACAAAAACTTCGTCCAAGTTCAAACGACCGGGAGTCGATGCCACTTCCGACTGCCTAAACGGTAAAGTTACCACGTGACATGACTGTCGCTTTACGACAACACCTGAATGAAATATCCACATGGAGCAACTGCACATAGTCGCACCTGAATATTTACCAAAAATGCAACATTTTAACGTCAAGAATCGTACAAGGGAATGAGTTCAAATATATTCGAGGAAAGCATTCAAATGTGTGTGTGTGTTCTAAGTCAACTTCATTGGTAAAAGTTCCTAATTTGTATTCCCGGCTTTGATTTGAATCTGCTGAGTTTTATTTCTTGCTCCGATTGTGTTAATTAAAAGTTTACTCAGACATTTCAATTTTAAAAGTTTTTAGAAACTTCAAGCTTACGGTTGATCAGTGTTGATGTCGTTATATAATGGCTTCATGTCCTTCATTGACAAAAAGTTTCATGTGTGTGATAGCGAACGGAGGAAACAAAGGTTATGGCTGACTGCTTGCACGGACTGACAAAAAATTTCCGAGTTTTCTGCGATTAATTCCAAATAGAAGTTTCCCGCTGACGTCACGTATCCCGTAGCAACCATGTTGGCCGCCATCCTGAAGGTCAGGTCTTCCAAAGTTGACAAGCGATTCTGACCATGTCTGCAAAAAACCGAACGAGAAAACCAAGAGGTTACTCGTTAATTTTTTCTTAATCTTAAAAATGCAAAGTGCGCCAACAACGTGAAAGTGGCGGTGATAGTTATATCTTTGTGCGCTCGGTCAAAACAACCGTGTTCGGTCCTTAAAAAAATTTGTGCGTTTGGTCAAATGAACTGCGCACAGTCAATTTAACTTTGTGTGTTCCGTCAAAACAACCGAGTTCGGTCTAATTAACTTCGTGTGTTCTGTCAAATCAATTGCG